GGAAAAGATCTCGTCGTTTTGTAGCAGCAAAACATTGTCGCACATAATTGTAACTACTTTACCTGTTCCGACCAGCTCACACTTCGCGCACGATCTAGTTGGTCAGCGTCTTCACCACTCGACCAAGGATAAGACTGTATCGACCTACATACAGATGAAAACATTAGTAATATACTCAATGATAACATATAGAAAGAAAATACTCACCGACTAAAAAGACTGTTGGATCCAGCAAACAACTCCATTCCTGGAAGCGCTCCCTAACAAAGATAACATCTTCAGTATAAGAATCAGAGCGCGAGAATGCTCATATCTACTGGTTGTGGATTTGTGCCTAACAAGCTTGTAAAAATAACAATACAGTGCAAAACTCTATGGAGTTCAGTTTAGTGATTACCTTACCTCATATTTATCAGCGTTAGAGGAGAATGCGTTTTCGCGCCTGATATCCGTGATGCCTGAAACAGACGAATAAAAAAATAATTCACAAATCGAATTTTGGTCAGTGATCATGGTCTTGTTAATGACGTCATCTTTGTTATCTCGAAGTGCATTATGGTACTGATAAAATTGTTAACATGGCGGATGTCAACGGACGGAGAAAGTTTATTCGAAAAATAATATTATCCGTCACGTGACAATCCAATAGTGCACCTTGCCGAACATCGGATGACGTCATTAGCGACAATTAATGGTGACGTAAAAACCAGACAAGGGATTTCTTGATTGACTGCTTGGTGTACCTGTAGGTTGGGTCGACCATGGGCTGTAAAACTTAGTCGCCCTTGCCGAAGGAGGTGATTGTCGTGGAACCGCATTCGTTGTTTCCGAAATCAATGGCTCTTTTCGTCGAGATGAAAAGCTGGGTGAAGTTTCTAATGGACAAAAATCAGCGTCAATATACAAAGACCGATGGCAAACACAATAAACAAAACATTTATATCTATTTAAGCCAACCTTGCAGTACTGAGTTTCCACAAGGAATGTCACCGATAGCTCCGAAAGGACCTTTGATGTCACAATTCTCTTCCGTTTGTCGAGCGTTTGACCACATCGAAACATAGCTCTCGGTATTCGCCATGGTATCTAAGGGACGTCCGGGTTCTATTAAGTCTCTTTGCGCCGTGGTAGCCTCAGCACGAGTGATAGCTGCTATAGTTGTTACAACGCCCTAAAAAAAAACAAATTTGTGACATATTGTTTGGCAAACATTTTATGTACTCTTACTGAGGCAATCGATTTTGCGAGATTTAATAAATCAAAAACCAAAATGGTCACTTAAATCTTTCATGTAATTCATCCCATGCACCAGCATTTGTGTAAAGAAARAACTAAATTTTTTTAAATAATTYTAATTTTTAATTAATTTTTAACAACAATTGAAAAAAATCCTAAAGAATAAAAACCCAATAACAATGACGAGTTGACAATAACTGTTTCAGATGGTGTGCAATCAAAATTAACTCAATAATACGAGTACACAAACCTTGATGTCAGCGGTAGTAGAGCAATGTAATTCTTTACTATGTACAGSCTGCAGTGAACTAGTAATGGCGGTAATATGTTTGGTATCCGCGACYCCATTGATTGGATTACTACTCACGCACGTRGTCACAGCACTGGTYGACACGCCTATACTTTGCGTCRCTCTGTTKGGTTTCCAAGCGACATGATTGGACCACGCCACTGTTGTTGTCTTGGATACTTGAGCTGACGATTTGTTAGAATCGGGTTGGACACTATAGCCACTGTCCGAGCTACCAGACGACGTTGAACGACTGTGAGTTTTCGATACTTCCTGTGGGATGTCRACAGTAGACATGGTTTCAGGCGATGTATCTTTAATAGATTTAACCACCGTGGTTGATGTCAGAGTGTTCGCTTGGGTAATCGTTGGCCACTCTGATGACGATGAATTAAGAGCAGGGAAGTTTCCTTTAGCGGTAAGGTGGTTCGATGAAATGGCGGAGGACGTTGTTGTGTAAGTGGGCGTCCCATTTGTTGCTTGGCCACTTGTACTTGGTGTATTAAGAGCCTGTGTAACCAGAAACTTTGCACGTTGAACTGATTTGGTAGATCCCTGTGGAAACAATGAATGAATTGTTAAATCACGTTTAGATACTAAGGTGTAATTATTGACGCGCTTACCTTGATAGTTATAACGCGATCTGTAGGGGCTTTAGGTTCTGGCTTGCCGATGGTTATTTGAGCACCAGACTCCTCCTGATAATCGCAATAAAAGATATGATCATTATTTTTTGGGGGTTGGTTTTGAGGATGGAGTTTGCACTGCACTAAAATCCATTCTCCCTGGTYAACATTCTGGAATGGGGATGGTTGGTGAATACACAGAATACATTTTATTATCACATAATTATCTTGTAAAAATAACTCGAAGATAAAATCCGTATCTCCGCGCGCCCATGCAATATCCTCTATATATATATTTCATGCCGTCGAGAGAATCGGATATGTTTTTCTTTCTAATCAGGAATAGATATGAAAAGTTCAAAACGCAACCTTCTAGCCGCAATTCAAGTCGAACCCATTTCGGAATTAAGCCCAAAAGAAACGCCCAAATGCTGTTCATGGGAGAAGCAAAGGAAACCACAACTGATATACGAATACTAGGTGATATTTGATGGAGACAGTACCGTTATCGAGTTGATTTTACTTCCTCCTCTTCCGATAACACGGCCACATAAAGCATTTGGAGCCGTCAGTTGAACTACCATTGTTCTATAAAGAAAAGTTAATAAACGTTAGAAATTTGAACCAAGACATTCGTCTGTATTGATTAAACTATAATAACAGTGAATTCATAAAACCTCGTTGCTGCTATTGTAGGTTTTTCACTGCAAGAAGATGTATTTGTGATGGACTTCGCAGGGCCGAATTCAAGGGGGTGACAGAGTGCTCCCCCTGGGGAAGTCCTGCTTAAATACATGAAGAAATACATATTCAGATGACCAACATAAATCAGGCAGACAGACAGACCAACACAAAATGTACTGATGCTTAGAAAGAAAAAAAATGTAGGTGCCTATCAAAAAAATTTTTTTTTTGTTAAATCAAATTACAAGAGCAGACAATTATTGTGTGAAGAAAATCCCCACCATAGCCTCTAACCCCTTCTGTATTACATGGAGTATAGCAAAACATTACTTACTTCGAATTAGTTGTACGAGTAACTTCCTTCCAGCTTTCCTCTTTTAAAACTTGCTGCTGTTGATGTGGCTTGGATCGTGGTGATGGAACTATGATACAATGAACTAGAGGTCATTGCCTATTTCTGTCTAGTTATCAGTGTAACAGAGTGCAGCTTAACATTTTCCGAGAAACGTTTCAGGAGAATTGCACATTGGAAAAGGGATTGTTGAGCAATTAAACGGATACGTTCGTTGAGTGTGTGCCTACACTGAGACTGAGAGGKAAGTTGGTGGCATTGCAAGCTGCTGCAGTGAGTTGCGAAAAATCACTTTTAGTTCAACTTCGTGCYGCGAAAGAAATTACGTAATAATTTGAGAAATAACGTAATAAGTTGCTGAGAAAATTCCATCGTGTAACTAGCAACACCTGCGTTGCATCAACGCACTCTTAACGTTTTAACAGAATTATTTTATTTTAACCAAAATGACATGGGGTTGCAACATTTACAGTGAACTTTCAATAGCAAGTTTTAAAAAGTAATCTTCATTTGAGTATTAACTTACGCGGTTTTTGCTCTTTGTCGTTTTCTGTTGTGGTAGTCTTGACAGATGTCGATGATTGGCCCATCGTTGTACTCCCTCGTGAAGCAGTCTTTTGTTTAATGTATTCACCTGACGTGCCTACGTCGACTCCATTGCTCACTTCTTTAGATCGTCTTTTCGCAATCTTATCCGTATCTTTATCTGACTCAGGTGACGATTTCGGTGACGGCTGCTGCTTGTTTCGATCTCTCGGTGACACAGGGTGACSGGTTGTAACTTCACTCACCCTTTCTTTGTCAGACACACTTACTGCACTAGTTGTGATGTTCGGGGTACCTGTGTTAGTCTTGTTAAAGTGAGCACTAGTCCCTACGCTATTGTGTTTTTGAGAACTGTCTCGTTTCGATTTCTCTTGTTTTGTGTCGTTGCGAACAGTGTTTACAGTGTTTAAGTTTTTGGTCTTAATTTCGTTGTCTTTTTCGTCTTTGCTTTTGTTTGCCTTGTTGTTTAATAAGGCTTTTTTCTTGTCCTCTTTTTGCGAGCAATTGGCATCTCTTGAGTTGTTGGAATCTTTTGACGAAGTGTTGATTTCTTGCGTTGAGTTACTGCTCTCCTTTGAGCTCACCTCTCTCGACGAAGAACTAACCTCTGGCCTTGAACAATTTTCTTTCGTTAAATGCACCTCCTTAGGAAAGTTATTCATATCTCCTTTCTTTTTGCTTCTGCTCTTCGAGTCAAATCCAGACGACTTTCGTTCTTCAAAGTCATTAGGTGAATCTTGGTTCTGTTGATGTTGTCGGTCGTTAGAACCGACTAGTGACGTCTCTTCATCGATGATAAGCTTCCCTCGTCCCCGCGGGCACTCGTTCGTGTACTTAAACGAATCTTGATGGATATCATTTTTTCCATTACAATCGAGTTCTATCTTTATCTTTTCATCATTGTGCGACATGTTTCTTATTTTGTGGTTTTCTTTCGTTCTTTGGGGCTTCTCTTCTTCGTCTTCAATATCACTGGACTCCTCTTCGGATTCCGGAGGTTCAGCGACCTCTTGTGGTCGGTTTTCGAGAGGGGCTTCTTCTTTTAACTCTTTTGCTTGCTCRTTTTCTTTAGCAGCTTTGCGTCTTCTTCGTTTATCTCGTCTTTTTGCTGCAGCTTTTTTCTTTCGGTTGCTTTCCCTTTCTTTCTCATTTTCCAGTTCCTTGAATCAAAACAATAATTAAAAAGGAATTCTTTCCAAACTTGAACACAGCGATTTTACGCTGCATCAAAAACTACATTTAGTTTTAGTGATTGTTATTCTTTCAAAAGCAAACAAAGAATAAGATTTAGGCCACAAAAGATGAGAAATGTAAGCAGTTACAAACTGGAGTAATGACATCATATTTTTAAGAAGATTAGTGGCTTTATTATCTAGTCAGAGCAAACCTTCAGTAATAGTTCTGTGTTTCTTTGGACCTTCTGTTCTTTTGCCTTTTTACACTAAAAAGAATTAAAAAAATGATATACATAATATAACAGAAATAATATAACAGGACTTCCACTTTTTGGATTTCTCTTGACATGTCTTGAGGATCGTTTTGCACTAAATTGGTCAMTGTTTTTACAATAGTTTTTTTGTCCGTCTACTTTCTACGTAAACACAGTTCGTAAAATTTTCAACGAACCTTTAGAATCAAGTCGTAGCATTTCGTTCGTCCAATCATTAGCTCATCGTGTCGTTCTTTGTCTTCAATCGGTGCCATGAGGCATTTTTGACACTGCTCCTCTGATGGCAAATGATCAACTACGTTGAGAAGCCATTCGAGTGCCTCCACGTGACCATTCTTCATGGTGGAAACTAAAGGGGAGTTGTTGCGATAATCAGGCGCCTAGAGGACAACAAAACAATATGAAGTATTTCTAATCAAGCCCTTTTGAAACAACAACCAACAACCAACATCAGCAGCAACAACAACTGCAGTAACAAGCAGCAGTAGCAACAACAACAACAGTAATAAATCAAGTTTTGTGCACGTCTTTCCAGGGTACAATCTAGATTACAAAAGTCTCCTTCACAGTTCCCTATGTTATCTTGAAGGTAGCCATGCCTTCACATTGAAGGACCGTTGAGCGTGCAATGATAGAAGCCTTCTTCCTCACCTACAATTATTCGCAAGTTTTTATCATTGCATGCTCAATGGTTGGCTTGCTTTGTGAAGGCACAGCCACCTTTCAAGATGCAGTAGGGGACCGTGACAGTTAGACAAAATTGTTGGACGATCACAAGTAAGAAAACCTGGTATAGGTCATACGAACAACCTTTACTAGGCCTCTTTCAAAAAGCTTACACCTAGCTATGATTATAGAAATTACAATTTCCTAAAAGTGTTGGTTAAACTACCACACGAACCTCAGTGTCCGCTCCTCTAACATGAAGGGCRATTGCAATAGCAAGGTGACCTYCTTTACAAGACAAATGGAATGGAGTACAGCCCTTCTTGGTATGACACTCCAGATTGGCACTCCTAAAATTACACAAACAAACATAAAAAATATCATAAAGGTTGCAATGATTGATAATGTCATTTATTKGGAAACTCTAAGTATATTATTTACCAATTTATTTATCTTTATATTTAGTTATTCATTCATCAAAGTCCAATTCCTACCTTCTTAGCAACAAAGATACCAGTTCAGCGTGACCTTTCTCACAGGCCAAGGTCAAAGGATTCTCTCTGTAACATCGCAAAAAAAAATCACTAAAGATTGTTTGTGTGAAAATGGAAATAATGTGATACCGTAGGAAATATTACAACCAACTTATTATAAATACACAATTGTTATCTTCAACGTATTTGAGCCGCTTGATGAAATGATGCATTAAAGATGGGATTGATCTAATACAGCTTAAGTTTTAATGGATTTTAGAAAAATCATTGTAATTATAAACAATGGAAAAAAACAGCCTACAATTCAAGTCTTTAGATGGTACTCGAACCCCACACTGTGGTGATGATATAATGGCAACTGGAGCCCTTGCTAATGGAACCCTTGATAATTTTAAAATTCTTATCGGAATAAAACTGTACCTGCTGTTTGGGAATGTTGCATTGACACTTGCGCCATAGTCAAGTAGTAACTTGACAACATTAACATGATTTTCTCTACACGCCTAACAAACAAACAAAACACTATGCGTAAGTACAAAAGACTAACATATCCTTCASTTATAGAAAAATGGGGCTCAAAGGTTACACCATTTAAGGAGTATTTTATGTATACGTGATTTAAATTGAAAACAAATATTTTGAAATAACAATTACTTCTGTTTTTATCAATTTTTTTAACCAATAACTTAGGCCTAAATGAGTTAAGAATGCAAACCYCTCTGTTTTGTCCCAATACTAACCTGGAAGAGAGGTGTAATCCCTGTTTTTGTCCTACAATCTCTGTTAGCATTGTGTTCCAACAGCAGTTCAGCRACATCTCGATGACCTGTCAATCATTATAACATGTACATTACTGCCTTCTTTTTGATCATTATATACACAATAAAAACGACTCTTTCTATTTACTTCATCTCATATTGATTAACATTTTGATAGTTAGATAAAAGTACCTTTCCAACATGCCATAAACAGTGGGCTTTGTCCATAATTATCAGGTAGTTCTACATCAGCATTGTGATCAAGTAGAAGCTTGGCTACGGCAACATGTCCCTCTCTATCAATAAATGAATAATATTAGCATCTAAATGACCACATTTCTCAGCTTGAAACAGAGTTTTTTTTGTCTACATTAACTTCTACACAGCAAGTACCCGCTCTACTCTTTTGTGTACATGTCAGGTTTTTCACATTTTTTCCCCTCAAAGTCATGACAATCCATGGTAAAATGTCATTGAACTCATCATTAGTGATAAAGAAGCAAAGTTTCAAGAATATAGCTATTAAATTGGTAAAGATATGAATATTTTTAAGTTTCATTTTTTCTTCATGTATATCATAAAAATGAGACTCCCTGGGCATGGATTGCTTGTTACAATACATTTCTTTGCAAAGATACATAGTTTAAAAATTCATTTTTAAGCTTCATTTCTTTGGAACTTGTCATATTTATCGTCATTGATGTGACCAACTCGATACTGGATTTCTTTTTCGTTAAATCAAGTTTTCTAMAATTCATGCTAGCATGATATTCGTCTATACATTACCTAGTGGCCTCCATTARAGGAGTACAGCCTGTCTTTGTTTGGTGATCTACTTTAGAGTTRTGTTTTAAAAGTAATTCAACCACTCCAACATGACCTGAAAAAGGCAAACAATAGAGCATTATAAGCAGGCTAGTAGAATACACATTTGTTAACATGGACACCTTGTTTATTGGATATCAGTTCAGCAAGGAAAAGAAAGAAGGCTTTCTAGAAATGCGAATAATGATTTTATAGGATCATAAACATACGTACATATGATATGGAGAGATTTTAAAGTGTATATATCATAAAGTATTGAAAATTCAACAAGTTAAACTAACCTTTCCAGCAGGCCAAGGTGAGCGGAGTGTCATCGTTGCTTCCTGAAGGTTTGTTGATTTCAGCCCCTCTTGAGAGAAGAAGCTGTGTAGTTTCAACATGTCCCTCCCTGAAATACAGAAAAACCATATAGAGTTAGAATTGGAGTTAGAGTTAGAATATTGGAGTCAGAGCTAGAATTAGAGGTAGAATTGGAGTTAGAGTTAGAATTGGAGTCAGAGCTAGAATTAGTCTTAGAGTTAGAATTGGATTCAGAGCTAGAATTAGATTTCGAGATTTCGAGAATTGGAGTTACATTTAGAATTGGTGTTAGAATGGAGTTAAAATTGGAGTTAGAGTTAGGTAGATAGTTTGATGGATGGTCAGACCTATATTAACCAACAGGAATAATTCTTACAAAAGTTTGGTGTCACTAATGTTATTTTGATTTTATTGCAACAAAAGTGAAGGAGAGTAGAAATACTAAAAGCACATTTTTCAAGACAAATCTATTGTAAATACTGGGAATTTCACAGAATCAATCACTGTGTAACTGCTTCCTTATAACCTACAATTCACATTAATAAAAAACAGCAACATCACCACAAGCTTTTAAAAAATGCTTTAAACTGATGCTGGACATTGTCTGGTCCAGTCAAATTTTGCTTGGATGAATCCAGGTTATTTATTAATGATTTATCTTAGTAATCAATGATTAATTTTCTATGGCCAGACGGGTAGTTGCCTTGAAGTATATAATAATACTTCAGAGCTTTAATTGTACAAATTCTAAACAATTGTGCTAATAAAATAATTGAACTCAAGTCCTTAATTTACACTATAAAAAGAACTTACTAAAATCTCAGTATAATATCACATATATCCATATTTCAAATATAAGAATTTCTTCTGCTATACTAAATGCTTCCCTCATTATTTCTCTACTTGTTTTCAAAAGGTTCTCATAGACCCATAACCTCAAGTAGAACAGTCTCATTGACTCTACTCAACAGAAACAATTTAGGTGAAAAAATATCTGGTCTAGTGATCAACCCTTGGAATTGGACATGTATCTGATTAATACATTGTATATTTTAACGTATGTACACAAAACAAAAACACTACTAACCTTGCAGCAAGCATAAGYGGAGTGCAGCCAGCTTTGTTRCGATGTTCGATGTTTGACTTGTGGTCCAGCAAAAGCTCAACAACTTTAGTATGACCTTTCCAACAAGCCAATGTTAAAGGGATATTATTTTCACTWCCCGATGGCTTATTGACCTCTGCTCTACTGTCTAGTATCAGTTTAGCAACACTGTAGTGCCCCTCTCTGTAGAATACATATTAAGTTATAATATTAGGTAATTGATAATAATGAGGGTCAGGTATTACAAATATTAACAGCAAATATTTCACCTCGGTAGTTAAATACATAAGAATCGATACGAGGCAGTGTACATTGCTCAGTCAATGGTGAAAGACTGTTGTCTTTTCACAAATGAATAAGCTTTACAGCTGCCTCATTTGGATTCCTTTTTGAGTCACTCCTGTGGCAAATTCTGCAAGTCAGCTTTTCAATGAGTAAAAGGTTTTGTGGGTTTAGAATGCAACATAGTCCAAGGGTTCAAGTAATACAAGTGACAAAAGTTTTTTTTTAGATGCATTACACAGCTATTGCAAAATGTCTGTGTGTACATGATAAAAGACTGTCTTTCAAATAGTAGAACCATTAACATTTAAAAGATTCTTTGTCGTACAATGTAGACGAGGATTATTCTATTCCACATGCAGAAAAAATAAGAAAAAATAACATTCTTATAACATAAGATTAAGAAGTTCAACAACACTATTATTTTCACAGTCATGTTTTGAGGAGTTTTCTCCTAATGAATTTTGATTATGTCAACAATATGAACCAGAAATAATGGGTATTTTGAAATGGCATATCATGTGACAGTTCCATATGACCATATCTCCAAGAAATCAAACAGGAAAGTCCAAAAAGAACAATTGCAGTTAAAACTATGAAAAACAATAATATTACAACACAAACAAACCAAGAAGTAATATTAGTGACTATTTTGTCACTATTAAACAACAAAAACACTTTGGAATGAATGTTAATACAAAAAAAAGTCATTATCTTTGTTTTGAGGGTTGTTATGTATGGGTAATAGCAACAATTAGTCAAAAATAATGGCTGTTTCTTGGTGTCAACTTGATATCATTACAACGATTTCAATAGCTCTGGAAATGTAATATTTAACTTTATAAAGCAAGACTTTCAAAAGCTCAAAAGTTTTGCTCTACTTTAAAAGGTAAAGTTAACACACTACAATATCATTGATAAAAAATTGAGMAAACAAAATTGAAAATGGTCAAAAGAGAAATTTGTCTCACCAACTAAAACTTTTATCCATATTTTCCCCTAACCCCCAAAAATATTCTCCAGCAATGTACAAAAAAAAATACTATTTTTGATTTCATCTTTAGAAAAAAATTCTAYGTAATATTATTATATATCAAGCTAGTATTTTAGTAGATTTTGTACATGTAAATGGGTCTAAAAATTCTTAAAAAATCAAGCATTATGGATAGAAAATAACATCAATAAAATAAAAGGTTTTGGTTTTAAAGCATAATCTACTAACAACAACAGGAAAACTTGAATCTAAGTCTTAAAATAACCTAATCTTTTGTAATCTACTTTGAAATGGCTATTATTTATATTAATTTAATAGTCCAATCAGTGATGATTTTGGGGAAAATTTAGAATAAAATTTACATGAAATAACAATACATGTGGCAGAGTTATACAAACAAACAGGTAGAGATAGAAAAAAATGATGAGATTAAATAAAGAAACTAAAAAAAACAACAGAAATAGAACATTTACAAGACTTAACAGAATGAACATTGCTTTCATTTAATTTTTCAATTACACATCTTGTTTTTACTTTTCATAACTTTCCATTTTGTAACATTCCTTACATACTTATGACTTTTAAAACATTTCCTTACACAAACATAACTTACCTTGCTGCTAGCATCAGGGGGGTGCAACCATCCTTTGTGCGGTGTTCGATATTCGAGTGATATTCCAACAGCAGTTTCACAACATCATGATGTCCCTTCCAGCAAGCGCTTGTCAGGGGGATGTCATTGTTGCTGCCACTTGGTACATTCACCTTGGCCCCTTGTTCAAGTAACTTTGCAGCGACATCAGTATGCCCTCCTAAAGCAGCAAACATAAGCGGTGTGAAGCCCTCCTTTGTCCTGTGTTCAATATTGGCATTTCGACGAAGTAAAAGTTCCACCACATCACAGTGCCCCTTCCAGCAAGCAAAGGTCAGTGGGCTGTCCTTGTTACTGTCTGACTCCACATTGATTTCAGCTTTATGGTCTAATAGCATGGCTGCTACCTTAACATGGCCAGCCAAGGCAGCAAACATCAGAGCAGTGCAGCCATCTTTCGTTCGATGTTCAACATTGGCCTTTCTTTCTAATAACAAAGATACAATAGCTTCGTTCCCAAGAGTACAAGCCCAAGTGAGGGCACTGTCCGACGTCGTCTCTGTGGGTGCATCGATATTTGCGTGATGGTCTAGTAAATACCTTGCTACATCAACATGACCTTGGCTACAAGCTTCTAGTAAGGGGGTATTGCCGGCTTTATTACGATAATCTACGTGTGCTCCACTCTCCAGTAGTAACTCGACAATGTCCAGTTTTCCTTGCCGACATGCGAGACTCATCATCTCATCCAAGCTTACATCGGCTTCAGCCACAGAACGGAAAACAGGATCTGATTCATCGATGGGAGAATTTTCAATTCCCTCGACATTTTCTTCTTCTCCTGAACTCATAATATGAACACAATCGAGGCAAATAGCTTCACCACGCCGGCTCTAACCCCACAAATATCCGAGAAAAAAGCGAGAACAGCCGATAAGTCTTGACTCACTTTCGACTTCGATATTTCATTCTACTGTTTTTCTACAAAGAAAAGATTATCGTAGCAATTAATTGGAGACAAGGATAGCGTTATAAATACATGGCTTTAACATTACAAGTCTTTCTTTTATGATTGTGAGTTTACACGTTGAATTTCATCGAGAACAAGCCGTGTAAAACACCACGAACCCCAACAACCGTACCACTGAATTATTCAAGAAATAAAATAGAAAATGGCGATACCTTTAGCGAGTCCAGCGCCCTGAAAACTTCCAGTAAACTGACCTGGCAGTACAGTCAAGTGAGGTAATGAAAGGTTTAATGAGAAAGGATATTTTGGTATTTTTTTCGGCTGTTTTTCTGGACTTTTTTCCCTTCTCTTCGCGACAGCCTCTTTCTCTGCACAGCGCAGGACATAACACATGCACTCACCACAATGCCACCAGGCCTTTGCCTCGACCAGGTGATGTACGGGATTCCCGCGGGATTAATTTTTTTTTTTTGTAAACAACAAATAACATTGTTTTCATAACCATGGATACGTCTCCAGATGACATCCTATTTTGTCTTACTTTAATACAAATTTGGATATTTTCCTACAAGATGGTTTGATTGGTACATGTGACTTTTTTAACTTCCTTGGAGTACCTGGAAAGTCATGTCTTTGTTGTCTAGACAGTGATATGGCAGTTGTTATGGTAACAGCTTTTACAGCTGTCTTGTCCTGTTCCTTTCACCTTTTCAACATTTTCACTCAAGCAATACAAATGGAAATGATGTTAATGTTGTGTTATTTTGTGGTCTGACTTTGATTTGTCTCAGTGATTTAGCAATTTTTGATAATTTAAATAAGTACATATTACAATGACACTGTGAAATTTTATGTAAATATTTGAATCTTCTTTTGTGGCAAATTTTGTTGCAAATTTCTATTGTTCTGAATAGCCACACAGTCATTTATGATTTCTTTTTATAGTTTTATACATTATATMTAAAAATATTATTTCATTTAACCATTTTGTACTGCTGAGTTACAGCTTTATTTAGATAATTTGAAAATATTGATGCTATTTTTTTTTTCAATACTCTTTAAATGAAGTTAATTCAACGGAACAAAATACTCCATTTTAGGAGTTAGCACTGTAAGCTAACTTTCAATCTTAATTAAAAAGCACGTCCACTTTTCAAGATAGTACTTGTCACCATATAGCCTGTGTTACATCTGGAATTTCTATCTAGAAATTCTGGATGTAACACAGGCTAGTCACCATTCATTCACATATAAAACCTTCTTTGAGTCATTATTTGTCTGAATCACTGCAGTAAATCAAATTTGTGATTTAACCAAACTGCAAATTGCTACTGTTGAAATCCTGGATGGAAAGAGCACTTTGAATCATCAACATATTAAATTAATAATGTTGTGCATTTTATTATGACATTAAAAAAAACATTTACAATGCTATGCAGATATACTGCATTTATAATATTTATCATCTTCTTTTAATTATATACAATTTACAGTCACAAACATGTACATCTTAATATGGATTGATATGCCAGGCAAAGATTCAGGTTAACCACATCCCTAAGTTCTACTACTCTGTGAATAATGGACGAGTGGTCTGGGGATGAAGCTAGATATTGGTGAAATTTTAAGAGTAAAACATCTCAATATCTTACACACACTCTAGATTGTGCATGCTTACTTTGTCCATAAAATATAATGGAAATAGTTATTATCTAATAAGTCATAATTAGTGACAACTGGAAAAGTTTTAATGAGGTATAGTGCAATATGTATTGTTACTTAAAGACTGTTCCAGTTGAGCAATAAAGAGAATAGTCACTTACAAGAATGATTAGCTAGGCAGTAACTATTAGAAATGGAACTATAGTGTAGGTAATCACCTCATTGTTCATGCATTCTCTACCTCAAAAYAGAGAATTAATGAATTCAAATCACAATATTTTGGCAGCAAATGTGTRATTATGTTTTGAGTAATAGAAACCTGGCACTTGGGAATCATAAGATTAKACATAAAAATATTGACTGGKGTTGTGCAGAAGCCAAAAGAAGCTGACACAAAAAGGACCAATAAATAAGAACTAGTTCAGTACTGCCACTCTGTAACTAACTGCTAGAATGGCTCTCACCATGCAATTTACTTTTGGTGTCAGCTTCTCCTCCTCAGCTTCTTCTATGTTTTATGATTTCACCTTAGCTTAAAAATGCTAATAAAATTAATAAGTGTGCATATGCTTGAGCTTGAATTGAAAACACTGCTCTTTGTATCACAGCATCATTATGAAATATTTTGATTTGATGTTACATATTATAAACCTAGTCAATAATATGTACATAAATGTACTATAGAGACCTTTATATTGATGTTTGCAGTAATTAACAGATGATAGCTTGCCTTCTGTAGTGTTTCCAGGAAGTTCAACACTCTAACCTATTACAATATATGCTATCATAAATAAAAAAATAATATTGGTGAACCTGTTCAAATTTGGTATTAATAATGATTGTTCCTAACATTTGCTGCATGCTATAAACAGCAATCAAGGTCATAGGCCGCCCAACTATTACTGGAGAGGCTTAAAAGTACGAATGCGCACGCTTCGTGCTCTTAGAAAAATGCAGATTACCTGTGGTGTTACGTCACGATCCCGCGCCTCGCGAGTACATACTTATTACCATGTACCCGTGAGGCTCGCAATCGTGACGTAACACCTCAGGTAATCCACAAATCCAAAGTAAAATATGTACATGTAGTATTACTCWTCTCTTTTTTTTAATCATTTTGGGTAAATATCATGCAAGGGGTAGCAAATGGAACTCCCTAAAAACTAGGGAAATCATGTCAACTTGAGTTATTTAAGATCATTCAAGATCCATATTACTTTAAGTATTCCCTATAATTCATAAAAAAAGATATGTTGTTTATTGTACCCATCAATCTTTTCTAACCTGAAAGTGAACAACAGTCCTTTTCATGGTTCCCTGCGCTATCTTGAATTTAATGTAACTGTGCCTTTGCATTGAAGCGAGACAACCTTCTTTCACACCTACAGACAATTATTCACAGGTATCTACCATTGCACGCTCAACGGTTGTCTCGCTTCGATGTAAAGGCACGGCTATCTTTCATGAAGGTACACCTAACCGTGAGACTATTGCCTTATCTATCTGCCTAACTACGTCTTAACTGAAAGTTACGATTCTAATGAATTGTGTTTTACTTTCTGTGAAAGTCTTGGCAGATAATTTTCAACCTCTTACTTAATGATGCATTGATTGCTAAATAAAAAGCTTAGTGTCTAAATTTTAAGAAATTCTGTTTTCATTGGGAGAGTGAAGCCTTTTGGTCATACATAAAACCTGTTTGAGTTTGATGTCCCCACATAGTTGGAACTTGTTGGCGGCGTACATGGGCAGAACCAAAGTAAATAGCTCCCTACAAGCAAGTATTTGGTGTTAGTTATCATTAATTATTAATGTTTTAGTAAAGCAAAATAAGTTATTTGTTTGTTGTTAGAAATGGGAAGTAAAAATCGTAGTAAAAATCAAGAAGAACAATTACCTCTTCCAAAGACATCGGCTAATAGTGCTGATCGTGACTTTCTATTAGATCTTATCTGCCTTTGGACATGTTCTACTTTTGTAAGATCCTCAGTAATGGAAGAAAACTATAAGACATTAAAGCAAATTGATTACCATGAAAACTCATGAAAATATGGTTTATAATATACCAGTCCAATCAGGACTGTCTATATAAAAGAGTATATAAGGGGTATATCGTACAAAGCACTGATGTTTTATATGACCTGCTTCCTCCTTGTTCTAAGGGTTGCTCTCCCTTTATCAAAACTAAAATCTGACTCAGTATCACTAGGCAGTACAGTTAGTCTCTTTTGCAACTGCTATTTGTGTAAGTCCCAAACCCTCACTGAAAATGGAAAGGCAATACTCTGATTGGCTGATAACCAGGAATAGCATTTTTTGCTTGGATCAGCAGCAGTTTGTCGGGAGAGAAAAGGTTACAAAGATGACTAATGTACAATAAGCTTTTATCCAGAATTAAAATATTTTGTTTGAAAAAAAAAAAAAAAAAACGATTCAGAAAAAAAAAAAGATTCAGAAACTAGATTTAATATCAAGAATGTTATTGAACCATATGCATGGTATTTACCTGGTCACACATCATAGCAATGACAAATAAACCAAACAGACAGGATTCAATCATTAGTATTATGGTATAAATACTGAAATGAGATAAGTTAGTGAATGTTTAGTCATGGATTTATATCATCCCAAAATATAATTCAGACATGCTGGTTGGATACAGCCAGCATGTCTGGTTGTATCCAAAAGGCCTGGCCTTTTGTTCTGCTCATTACAAGGGCATATCTGTGGGGTGATTGGGATCGCTTGTCACCACCCTTTCTAGGGTTGAAAAATATAGAAATAAAAATTATGATATTTAAGAAAATTAATTATGTATTGGATATCATTCTCAAAAACAACTATAAATAGGCAGCATTCATCTGAGAGAAGTTTCACTTTCCATAGGCGTAAGCATATCTTTTCTTCAAAATACATTTTTCATATTTTCTTTTTTTTCCCTTTCTTCCTCCTCCTCCCCCCCCTTTATTTCTGGATCTGCCACTGCATTATCATAACATTTGCATTTAAAGTCATATGAGTTGCATTTGAAAGAGGCCTTAATTCAAGGAAAACAAATATTTGAACAACAAAAGTGAATAGATGACAAGACAAAAAATAACAGCAGATGAGCAGCAAACACAGATGTCTTACAAAACTCAAGTCTGAGCAGTTAAAGCATCTTTTGAAGTGTAGGTTAAACAAACATCTGTTCACATCAAGACATTGACCAGTAGAGCTATTAATTTTGACCAATCATACAATTTTGATTGAACATTATCCACTGTGGCTTTTACTTTGATGCTGAAGCTGGTTTAGTTTGAGATATCATGTTACTTACTATCTAGTTCTCTGGTTATATTCCTTTGAACAACCAAGACACTTTTTAGTCCATGAAATAGCTACCAAAATTATTGCATATAAACTAAGAACACCTACAGAAAGAAAACACCGTCAGAGAGCAAAATAAAATTTATTATAAGGGTGATAATATATAATATTATCCAGCCAAAAATGCAGCGCAAAATATACAGTGTGAAAAAAAAAACGTTTAACTGCTAGACCTGAAGTCTGCAATGTCAAACAAACTTGCTCATTTTTATCTAAATATATTTGGTCAAGTGTTTGTCACTTCTGTGAAGTCATTTGTTTAGATCAGTATGTTTGGAAATTATCAAATTAATCTACCTCACCTGTATAAAATAAAAACAAAATAAAGTATTTTTGATTGCTTTCACCAACACAATTGTTGATCCTGAAAATCAGAAAGATAAAAAAAATGTTTTGATTTAACACAATTTTGATATCAAAATAAACAAAATATAATCCTACATAAACAAGAACTGAACAATAAACAAGAGAATCATATTTTGAATTGGTCACATGCCTTTCACTCTGTTATACAATACTATTTCAAATAATGCCCCACAAGTGATCGACACAGCTTGATTTTATTTTTCTTATTTCTATTTGTTAAGATGTTGTTCTTACCAAGGGCAATGATGGTCCATCTTTTTGATACATCTTCTGCAAATTCTAAAATATTATCAAAAGAAATGTGATTCCCAATCAGGAAAAGAGAGTTATTATGTAATAATTATATAAAACAAGTGAGAGAAACAGGAAACAGGTTCCAGTGTGTAACAAAAGCAATATATTCATTCATGTGGTCTGCAGTCTCATGCTATCTACCTGTGTTGTGCACTGGTTTCTTACTCATGATATAGGTTACACATTGATTTTTACATTTTGATACAAAAAAGTCTGCAAAGTCAACCTTATCTCAGCTGCTTATAGTTTTCCATCCAAACTCATTATGAATATTATAACTATCATTATAAGGTTTTGCATACACCTAATTGAAAAAACGTAGTCGTGTTCGAAAAGGTCACACATCATTGAAGCTAAGACCGAAAGGGATTTTGAGTACCACTAAATTGGGAWTACATTTGCATATAYGKTGTACCGTAAATCAAGTAGAGCTAGTAAGATTAACAGCATGATAGTCCTTTATGCTGGAGAGCTGTTTGTATGAAATTAGCCAAATTGTTTGTCTTCCCAAGTACCCTTTTGGTCTTAGCTTCTATGATTTGACCTTTTTGGGCCCGACAAAGTTTCTTCAATTAGGTATATACATGTAATCATGCTGTGTAGTTTAAATATACACAGTAGGGTGGGGTTGTTCAAAGGTTGATTAGCGATAATCCTGGGTTAACTGAATTTAAAAACCTATGGAGTTAACCCTGGATTAATACTAATCAGGCTTTGAATAATCTGTTTCAGTACCGTACATGGCACTCTAACACCACTACTGTAGTACCTGCAGTGATGTGCTCTTGGTGGCCTGTATGCTTCACATTTTGTACAAGCTGTCCACTCAGAGTCACCCTGAAAACAATATTACGTAATGTCAAACTTTGCATTTGGTGATTTGAAGGTCAGGTAAGGGTGGTCAATAAAAAAATCAATATGCTAGATGTATAGTGTTATCACTAAAACCCTTACATATCGTACGTAAAATAAATTCTGGGAATATCTTGATATCTCAATTTTTTATACGTGTATCTTTCTTTTGTTATAAAGATGCAGATAGAGAGTATGTTGATGATTATTATTTTATAATAAGTACAAAACTTACATTTTGAGTAGTATGATTTCTATTTATTTCTGAAAAGTCTAAACTTTCTGTTGGCAATGGAACTATACCTAAATATAAAAAAATTAAATTAATGATAAATGGATTGGACATCTTGAGAAAGTGAAAATCTGTATTTTTCTTACCTGGGTCTGAAAATGATGCTCTAAAATGGGAAATCAATAATAATAAAGCTATGGTGTTGAATATTATAACATGGATTGTTCCCCATATACTGAAATACAAATTATAAGTATAAATAAGCTAATTGCCAAAGTTTAAATTTATGATAAATAGTAAATAATAAATAGCCTGATGTCAAAATCCGTCATACAGTCAGCTTAAATAACTCTATAAGCAGCTTAGACCAATATAAGCAATTCATGAAATATTCATATACATATTCTGTAAGTACAGAAGTTCAGTGGTTGAATCATTCATAACAGCAAGTAGCATTGGCCATTCAGCTTGCCTCAGTTAACAGAGGTTACTTGGTCAGGCATCTGCTTGCTGTGCTTGCAGAATGATTAGGAAATAAAACTCAAAAACTACATTTAAAATACGTTTTCGTTTTGCTWCTGTAAACAATCTTAGATATATAAGTCTTTCTATTCAGAATAGAATATCATTTGCGTTTTTAAAGTAGCTTTTGAAAAATGTTTCTGTTTCTAACAAGAACGTTCTCGTCTTGTCGTCTTCAAGTCAGACCACAAAACAACGACATTGAAAAACTTTCGTTCCCAACAATCTATATAGACTTTATAATTCACACATAACGTAAAACTAAGTAAAGGAAAGCATTTGAAACTGTTGAGACTAAGAAATCAATCAAACATAACCAATTTATGCTGAACAACCATACTCTTCTTTTTTTTTTACTCAATCTGGCTTTTATCTTGATTTTCAAAACCGGGCAACTGTGATTAGCCGACCAAACCACACCGATTTCAAATATTAAATCGATAAATAACYAAACCTACCCCTATTTTTARGAAATTTTGCGTAAACAAAAAAGGAAGGGAGAAAGAGRTATTCTAATTAGATAGAAAGTTTAGTCGACGAGATGTGGTAGAATTTCGGTTAAAGACAACAAACATTGTACTTACTACCTCTCTGAGATAGTTGGAATGATTACATGGTTAACAATACAGTAGTCAGCATATATAACAGCAGAATARGTCAAAATTAGACAGCAAACACCACAAGGATCACGACGGAAGACCACCATTTTGAACTTTATGACAGAAGCTTTCACAGGAAGCCCAGATCCCCTTTCGTGTAAGACAGGGAACCCAAAAATTATTGCGCGCAATGGAAAGCGCGCGCTTTCTTGAATACAGCATATTATATTTTTTTAGTTTGCATATATAAGGTCAGATCTAAAAACTCTCGAAACGAAAAACGATAAGTTTATGAACAGTTTGGTATTTTATATCGTAATATTTGCTCATGATGAATAGAAAAACATCAACTCGCGAGTTCCTAAACCTTTTGGCCAGTTTGCGCGCACCGCATTTTAACGTCACAATCATCGTCCTTGACTTCACTTCCACTTAAATATTTTGTACAAGTGTCTTTTGTAAGGCGTGCTGTATGTGCTCATTGTGAAAAAATGAGAGAAGACGAAAAGGTAGATCCTTTAGAAGCTCAACTCGAAGCTCAACAAGAACTTGCTTCTCTTCATCGCCAATATCGGTGCCTGTCCAATGATAAAAGGACTTACACGACCGAAACGCAAAACATYATCCGACGRCAAAAGGCGGCAATTGAAAAGTTGCTTCGAGAAAAGAAAGARYTRCTGACTTTGAGAAATGTAGCTGGGCGGCTTTGGAATAAGTGGTGCGACGAAAACAACTTAAATGAACTGAAYAAACTGCTGGATAAAGAGAAATTAGTTCAAGGAGAAATTGAAWTGGAGAAAGAGCTAATTGAGAAAACTGATGAGGCAGAAAAGATCCTCGAAGAAAAGATTATTGAACGGCGAAGATCAATGAAAGTAAGTCCAAGTTTATGCCAGACAAAGTATATTGCTACCCAGAAGCAAATTCGAGTGATGAACAATAGGTTGGACAACGTAAGCAAAAAGTTTAACTCTGCATTGGCTGGAAATCAGAAATTACGAGAAAAGATTGATGACGTCATGAGGCAAAAAGAGCGATTCAAGACGCTGTATCTACGCTTGGAACAAAAACTGGCTGACGTRAGGTTGGACATTGAAACAGTCTCTGAAACTACAACAGCACACTTTAACGCTAGAGATGAGGCGCAACACCGCATGGCGTCCTTGCGTGAACGAGGAGACAGAGAACTAAACATGTTCAAAAGCGATATCAAAGACTTTATGAGAGCCATTGAACATGATCGCAAACTGCAAGACTTCATGAATGCCAAAGGAAAGGACCGAACGACTATTCTAAGAGACGAAATCATGGCGAGAGAGCTCAAAAAGCTGGGTATTCACATGGATAGTTTGAGCCTGGAAKCTAAGAAATATGAAAAGGTTTTTGAGAAGATCAAGGAAGCCACAGGTATCTATGATACCGATACACTTGTGTCGTCATTCATTGAAAAAGAGGATACKAACTTTGCGCTGTTTAATTACGTGAACGTCATGAGCACTGACATCGAAGGCTGTCAAGATGATATTTTGTTCCTAAAAGAGGAAATGTATACGATAAAGAAGGAAGGAATAGAGAACGATATTCGACGAAAACAGATTTTAAAAGAGCTCGAATCGCAACTWGAAAGCGTAAAATCGCGCTGGGCTGCATTGAAYAAAGAGGMAAATGGTGAGCGCCATATATTAGAGCTAGYGAAGTCAAAAGTCGAGAAGCTCTTCAAGGCSATCAAGTGYGATCGYACGGCCATATCCGAGCTTCTTGGAGGAGGTACAAGTATYGATGACTACAATGCCGTTCAATATTTAGGAATCATTGARCAAAARTGTAATGAGCTTCTTCAAATCAAAGCGCTACATCGACTCAAAAAATACGGGGAAGCTGACCCTAAAGAGGTGCATGTTTTGGAAGGGCTTCTTCAAGGYGCAGGACCRCAACAAGCRCAMAAAGACTTGTCCATAGTTCCACCCAACATTGACGAAGAAACCGATCTAATGCTGCAAGCCTCCGATAGCAAACCATTGTCCATGGAAGAAGTCCAGGTTCTTTTCACCCAAGCTGTACAGAGGGGAGGACTAAGCAGRGGAGCTGGGACTGGTGTGACATCAAAGCCAGCCAAGAAAAAAACGACTGTTAAGACTTAATTGTAAAAATCTCATGCCTATMTATAGCCATTAAATTTATAATTCAGCTATTTTCGTACTTGTCTACTAAATAGGTGTACTTGCCATATCATCTTATACGATGTTTTTGTTCTTGGTAGTGAATCGATCTGTCCCAATGCATTCTCAAATTCCCTTTTCCCAGTTCAATATCCCAATTCWCATTTAACTCCTTCCGAACCCCGCAAAATGTAGTTACATCYATAGTGAACAAAATGCTCATGACAAGATCGTCTGTTTTGTTCATGAGAAGCTGATTGAACGTCACTCAGTGCATGAGGTGTATAATGCGAAGTTTCAAATCTACAATAGCAACACTTTCCGCACAACTACCCAAAAAATACGAACAGCAACAAAAAATATTTATTAATTAAAATTTGATCTCTCATAAAAATACATCTTCTCGAATATATATTTATCACTCTAAATGTTCCAATAGAAATTTTACTCACTTACTTTTACTCTAAAGATAAATAACACAACTGGAAATGAAGGATGGAAATGATAGAACAACATGTTGAAGTATAAATGAACTGAATGAGAACCGAAGAATACAAATATGTTTTACAAGACGCAATAGATTTATCATGGTCCAGAAAGATGGAAAGTCACGGCTCTCTGGAATCTTCTATAACCCTGAAGTGAGCACTATCAGTTTGATTTTTAACGTTATTAATAGCATTGCAGTTTTCTCGTTGCTTGGCAATAAGATCACTCCTGTCCAGCAGTGAGTTTAGTTCGTCTTTGCCTAGTGTGAACGCCTCATTGGCGACCACATGATCAACATGAGATGACTCCAAAAGGTCTTTCAATTCTTCGGCGCTTATGGCGTTGTTTTCCATTTTACCTTTGAATTTACCTGGAATGTGAAAAAAGTCGAAAAAAAAAAATGAATAAATATGAAGAGAGACCATTAAGACAGTCAATATTTAAAATTTAGATCCGGAAGTAGATTGGATTACGAGTTGATAGTCCATTGAGGCCTACTCGGAAGAATGGACTATCAAATCGTAGGTCACGTGACACAGTGCTCAACTAACAACTTTTTTTAGTAAAATCAAATTATAGTCTAACTTTGAATAAAGACCATGAAGAACAATTTTTCTTGACATTTTTCAGACTATTTTCGCTTCATTAGATGTCACTATGGTCTATCATGAATAAACCATAGTTCAGTAGCCAATCAAAATCCTGGATTTGTAATATTGCATACTTTGGTGGATGCTAAAATTACTTATCCATTCAAGCTGTTCAACATGTTTCTATTTACCTCTGTGAATGACAAGCTTCTCTAGTGTACGTTTACTGGCAGCTCTTTCCACCATCTTCTGATCGACAGTGTTAGCCGTCACTAGTCTGTATACTAGAATAGGTTTAGTCTGCCCAATACGATGGCATCTGTCTTGAGCTTGGAGGTCAGCCTGTGGGTTCTTTAGACAAATAACAATTTTACCATCAATGCATTATTAGAAACAATCCTTGAAAAACGCATTCGGAATTGCCATTAAATCGCACGTTATTATCGACTGAGGTTCATATGCTCATAGAATTTATTCAAACCTGTTCCGGTTAATAATCATATCGCCTTTCGAGAAAATGATCGATTGCGCAAATAATCAAATCGCCTAACTTTGAAATTGCGAGTGGAGGGAACGGAAAAAGAAAGGGGAGAAACGTCCCATCCTAGTCCCTTTTCTTAGTCATACAGCTCTTCAACGAAAGAAACGTATGTAATCTGCATTATACGACGAAAMGCACTATGGACTGATATCATAATGTAGCATGGCCATTACCCAATCACTGTCRAAAATGATCACAGTATCAGCAGCWGAAAGATTCAGCCCCAGTCCACCAGCACGAGTACTAAGCAAGAAGAGGAAAACGTCTGGGTGTGTATTGAAATCGTTGATCTGAAGACATGAAATAACAATTATCAACATCAAACATGTGACAAGTTATTGTTGCTGTTTTGTTTAATAGATAATTTACTACACAAATATAAAATTTCACGTGATCTTCACTTTGGATCATCAAATTATGCTGAGCTGACAATATCATCACTGCCCGATGTACTCTACCTGTTCTCGTCTTTCTTCAAATTTTACTGAGCCATCTAGCCTACAGAAGTGGTATTTACGATAATAGCAATAGTCTTCGATGATGTCCAACATCTTAGTCATTTGTGAGAATATAAGAACCTGATGGATGGAGACAAAGCATTACTAGAAATTCATATGCACATGCACATCCTTCTGTCAGACTAATGAAACGCAAATTTTATAAAATGGCGACTGTCCAATATGCAAGCGCATTGCGATATTGATTTTCCTCTGCGTTTTTATCATTGGAAATGATTTAATTTAACAATATTTGTTGTGCAATTTCTTAGGGGTTAAAAATCAGTCAGCCACGCCCTTTTTTCAAGACTTCGGGATCTTTTCGGCGTCTTCTCGAAAATTTTTGACGAGCATCCCCGCTAATTTTACCCCGGAGTCCCCCCCCCCCCCCCTCCAAATCAAGCAAAAATTGTAATATTACCTTGTGACCTCGCGACTTGAGTTCAGTGAGAAGTTGATCMAGTAACATCATTTTCCCCGAACTCCTCACAAGCTCTTCATCGACTTTGAACTGGCCTGTGGCTGTGTCGAGAGGATACTCAAGTAGATAAGGATGATTACAGCACTTCCGTAGAGTCATTAGAATGTTCATTATTGGTACATGAACTTCGTAATCTTGATTTTGAAACTTTGAAACAGGTTTATCAGAGCGCCTGAAAGAATGAGTAGAAACTAATGAGCGAATATTCGAAGGAACTCTGGGATGATTCGGGGGTAAAGATGAAAACTGAATTTCATAGCAGAACTCAGTTCCCTTGATGCTTATTTCTCTAYAATTTCCTCGTTTCCTTTTCAAGCMMTATATTCTTCTCTCCTGGGTTAAATATTTCTTCATTTTGGAGAAAAAACAGTGTATGTAAAGCAAAATTCCTACAACAAGGGTAATAACATTGTTTCAACTGCAGGCATTGTTACATAGAAGAGATTATTGTATATTGAACTTCTTTAACATAGCAGAGCAAGGTAGACTGAAGAGAAGCAGTAAAGTGCAATAGTTCTTTTTAAAGAAATAATTTGGACAATGCACAACATGTGTTGTGTTCATCTGAAATCAGGATCAGATTGTATGGGAACTCCTCATAATAACTCAACTGGCAATTCCCATTCACACAAAACGAACAATCYAACTACTRTAGCATCCCTTAGCTGKCWGTGGAASGAGGTGAAACATCAGAATTGTAATACCTTGCGTCTTGAAGATCCTTCAGTTTCTTGGACAGTGCTTCTAAGTCTTCAGTATCAAACATAGTGTAGTCAATGTTCACTCTATTTTTTCGCTTAGGTCTTCCTGATGGTGTGAGTTCAACACTTTCTTCAGTTTTAWTCTGGCAAGGAAATAGCAAGAGAATCAATAAATAATACACACTATATTTTCGTCAAAAAATTCCAGGACTTTTTCAAGGATTCCAAGGGGTAGCAATGAATATACAGGAGAAGATCTAAAGGGTATTGACAACCCTGACATTTTTAAATAAAAGTTCATAATTACCTTATTTGAACCAACAATGCCCAAGATAGACCTATCAAGAGCTGCTTTGTAGAACGTTGTCTGTTTGACAGTCAAGGGAGCATAGACTAGTAGTTCTTTCTTAGGAGGCAGTGACAATTCAACATCGGCTTTCAAKCGACGAAGGAGGAATGGAGTAAGGATCTGTAGAAAATTCAACAATTAATAATATATTGACTTCAACAAAAAAAAGACGAAAATCTCCTTTGATGGTAATTGACAATGTTTATCAAATGACCTTATGGTAAATCCAGAAACTCAATTCAATCAGATAACAATTAATCATATTAATAGTTATTGTAATTATTTTAGTACTTACGGCATGAAGSCGTTCCAAAACTTGATGTTCTCTCTCTTGTGCTATGATTTTCTCATTGCTTTCCTCCTCTCCAATTGCATCAAAATCAAATAATCTCTGAAAACTAGAAAGTACATTAAAATTTGTTAATGTTTCCTTTCCTTTCTTCAAGCTACTACATGTTATATGGTTAGATAATGGTGTTGGTAATAGCCAACTTTTGATATTTTGGTTCAGTRACCATGCACAAAAGAATTGCAGAYGAGGCTCCAGAGAAATAAAAGAATAAATCAAKATTATCCATTGTTTTCCCAGAGCCTCRTGTCCGTTCTTTTGTACAAAGTCATCAAACCAAAATATCTAAAGTTGACTATTTGGGATGCCCAGTCAGGTTTTTTTCCCTATTTTAAAAGCCCACATTCTYCCAAGAAYCTCTTGTTTACAAATGATCTGATTGTAAAAACCATTCAAAGCTTCTTGGATGCATTTGAGGCTTGATAAAGCCTCAKTTATACTTGCCATTTTTGCAYTTTGTTCTCGCGCACCTCAAATYGTACRTGTAAACAGCCCACAAGTTGTAGCTAAATTTCAAGCATGTTCATATAAATGGKCCTTMACATTTCATTATAGGAAAAGATGACCTCTGTTTGAACTGACTGACTTTATGCTGACATTATGCATTTTATGCTGCATTTACAAGGTCAGCAGTCTTTGAAAGGTTAACTCACCTACTCAGTTCATCAAAGATATCAGGTAAGAGAAAGTTGAGCAAGGACCATAACTCTTGTAGGTTATTTTGYAATGGTGTTCCAGTCAGCAAAAGACGGTTTGCAGTGTTGTAWGTTTTTAGTTCCCTGGAAAAGATAAATTATGTTGGACTTTAGTAAAAGATTAATCAGAAAAAGACCAATAAAGAGTAAAATGGAGATGATGCATGGAACAAGGCTCTCCTTGACTATACTGGAATTTAAGAATAGTCGATAGTTAGCATTGCATAAGGGATGTGTGTACACTACTGTTCTAAAAAAAAGATTGTGATTTGATGAAAACAGGCAATACACAAAACGATGATGTCCAGTAGAACAATAGGCATTGTTGACATAATCCTACAATTATTTGTTTTTGTTGTCTCGATCAATCACAAGCTTCATTCTGACAGATATGGTCGACCCTTGCATAACTCTGAGTTAGTAGATRACCATGGATTAATTAATCTTTATCAGATCCCACACCACACAAGCTGTGTCAACCAACCATTATAACAGAAGTGCGCTTACCTGATAAGTCTACAGTTTAARTTCTTGATGCGATGTCCTTCATCTACAATCAAGTGTTTCCATTGTAAATGAGCAAGAAACTTCTGGTCATTCATACAAATTTCATAGGATGTAATAACTACAGGCTGTGTTTGGTATTGATCTACTGCAATCATCTTGTTAACCTTTCTTCTTAACCTGGTTCTATCRTCTTTGCTGCCATGGTACAAAACCACTGGGATCTATGATATAATAAATAGATTTTATTCATGGTTTGTGCCACRTTTTCACAACAAAATTCAGGGACTTTTCAAGTACTTTTTAAGCACAAAAATAAGATTTTCAAGGACTATACTTCTGATGTTTTGTTCATGTTTGCGACCACTTGCAGTGGCAAGTTTCAAAAATAGCCACATTTTAATACAAAAGCTAAACAGCAACATGTCCATTTTATTAGATTAAAGGAATTTTCCAGGAGTTTTATCGATTTTCCCAATTTTCAAGGGCTTTTCAAGAGCCCTTAAAAAAAGTTTCAATTTCCCTAGTTCATTATGACGTCACATCAATTGTTTTAATGCTAAGGATTATGGTTGCCAAAGGGGATCAGGGTGACTGCATTTCAACATGATATATATAAAAACCCGATTCACTGAAGTTCTACTTTAGTCGACAATATGAATGGGTCCAAATTACCACTGTTTTTGAGGATCGTTTTCCATCATAATGAAATATGGAAATTCCAGGACTTTTCAAGTAGCACGAACCCTGTTTATTGGTTTCTCTATTTCTGGTTTTTCATAAATCATTATAGTGATGAATTAAAATTAAACAAATACTATAATTACATAACGCTTTGCATAAAAGCCATTGTGGAACCATTTTCATCTCTAAACACCCCAGAGAAAACAAATCAATGCCTTGCAAATACTAATGCCGTACCAGCACGACTCGAAAGAACGGACAGACATATGCAGTACAAGATGTCCTTCCAAATTCATTTGTGGAAGGTCATGTCAAGTTTTGAAAGGACAAAAACTTTAGTAATAAACTATTATTTCTTTTAATCTATAAGTTTTTGCATTCAGAAAGATCGGCAAGCATTTTAATTGCTTGTAAAAGGTTTATTTAACGAATTGAGAATTGATTTGTCTAAAAATTTGGCAGGTCAATTTGTCCTTTCAAAACCCGATTTGGCCGGTCATCTAGCGAATTTGGAAGGACATTGTCTTTTGACCAGCCGTTATTTCGAGTCCTGTACTAGGTGGTAAGGTTTTGGTGACTACCTTTGGTGTAAATCTTTGGAATTCAGARACCCAGTTAGGTAAAGTAGACAAAGGTGCTGCCACAAGAAAAGGTCCTCTGACACCCATCTCAATAAGATATGCT